ATCTATATATTAATAGGCTAGCAATATTTTGTCTCGCTAAAAACTCCCAAACTACGCAACAGAATTAAACAAATAAGGTGTCGTTTTAAAGGTATTGTTATGTAGATGTGCAATAAGGTCTTAAATTATGAAAATTTCCTTTAATTAATTAATAAAATTAATAATTTAGTTTCAACCAATGAGAATTCAGCAAATCATTTTTCGGGTGGTTCGCATAAGCATTGTTTCCGTAAGCATCGTTTGATTTAAAGCATTTCTGAATTAATAGATTGATAAACAAAAATAAGAGTGGATAAAAAAAAACGGAACTGAATTTCTTAAAAAAAGAATTCAATATCTTTAGTTCCTTTGATAAATTTTTAGTTTCATGATAAATTTTTTGTTTCGTTACAATAGAATGGCAATGGCATCGTGCGAATATTCAAACCAAAACAAACGTGCGAATATTCAAACCAAAACAAACTTTCTACAAACAATTATTTTGATTTGAGATTTAAAACGATATCTTAGTTATTTAGTTCTATTTTTATTTATTTAGTGCCTGCTGCCTAAATAAAATGCCTGCTATCAGGCGTCGAAATATCTCTGGCAGACGTCAGAGAAATGAATGGCGGAATTCTAAACGGGAAAGCATTTCTTATTGAGATATATTCTCTGCTACAGCTCCAAATTTCTCAGCTACATGAAGAAAAGATAATCAAATTGTGAAGGGGGCAGAGAAGTGTATAAATTTCATTAAGTAATTGATTTCAATATCTGGCATTTTTATTTTAAAATTTAAATTTGTTAAAATGTTTTTATAAGATTGCGAAGCAATATGCAATGGAACTGCGAAGCAGTTCTGGGGGTTGGCGAGCGTAGCGAGCAGGGGGCGGAGCCCCCTAGTATTCCGTTATAGCAGAAAAGGTTTTCTAATAGTCCCCTTTTAAATAATGTTAAAGTCTTTTATTTTTTCTGCTTTTGATATTTTTAATTTTGTGTCACAGTGATAATCTTTGATGATAATTCATCAGACTTTGATGACCATGATGATCATTCGTCAATTGTAAAGGCAATAATATGTAGAAACTCAGTTTTAGCATTTTTAGCTAGAAGTCTAATAATAAATGTTATACTGAAATATCAAAAAAATTATGTTTTTTTACAATCTCAGAAATATAACTCTCACTTTTGATGATTCAGCAATCTTTGAGCTATATTTCTTTAATTATGAGAATTTATTTCGTCACGTGGTGTAAGACAAAACGGAAACTTTTAAATATATGACGAAAATGCATCCTCAACTCGAAACCTCATAGTTGTGCATTGTGGAAGATTGTAACTAGAATAAAACTTGGAGAAGACTAGAAGATTGAAAATAAAGAAACAAAAGCAGCTGATTGTGTTGTATTGTGGCCAAGGCGTTTGCCTTGTACCAGGTACGAACCCTGGTCCGAATCCAGCATTTTGCAAGAGGAAATTTATCTCACTGTTCTATTTGTTTTTCTTGTGTTATTAAGGTGACAGTGACTCAGCTCAGTTGTATGTTGCTCACAATAAAATGGTTATTAGAAAAGTTATTTTGATGAAATATTCACTCGGAGCATACATCAAGAAACTGTTTCGTCACAAACGAAGAAAGTTTCGTAAAATATCAGTATCCATTTTTTGCAGTGCACTTACTTTGAAGTTTCTCTTTTTCTCTTTTCCTGTGACCCTTCCCAAATTAAAAAAAAATAGTATTTTGGAATTGCATCGCTTGTGCATTATTTATTACTTAATACTGTTACAATGAACAAATAAATCTGGATTTATTTCTGTTGGATGTAACAAATTTAACTCACCGCATAATGCTGTTCTCCAAGCTTCTCTATGGTGTTCCGCTGCCGCAAAGCATAAAGTAATTGTGAAAATAAAATATTGCATCATCAAGATGAGATGAGATCTAGATACAATTTTTTCCATTTATTATTAACCTTTAAATAAAACAATACAAAATGCTTTAAAAAAGTTCGATTATGCAAAATGCTTAGTTTAAATTCTCCTTAATTATTATTATTATTAATGCTATTATTTAATTATATTAACAGTTTTCGATTACATACAGAGAAAAATAATTTGGTGAAATTACCGTACTGAATGGTAATTACATTTCTGATTAAAAAACTAATAACTGGTAATGAAAACCAAGCTATACGGTATTTAAACTATTCATTTAGTACTTTTTTGTTATGATGACGGCTTTCCAGCAATTCTGGTTTTAAAAATTATAGTTGCTATAAAAATTATAAAATTATTAAAAAAATATTAATATTATTTAAAACTTATAGTTACTATAAAAAATATAAAATTATAAAAAAATTGTTAATATTATTTAAAAATTATAGTTATATAAGAAATATAGTTATTATAAACACACTTAGTAAAAACATGAAACTGAAAGTAAATTTAGCTGAATAAATGATTTGAATGCCA